TTTGAGAACCATGTTGCCATATTACGAAGATATTATGTTTTTTAACTAGAAATTAAAGAAGTTTTCAAAAAAGTTTTCAAAAAATTCCAAATTTTCAAAAAAATTATTTCGCAGAAAAAACCTCATAGACGTGTTTCTGGGGTAGAATCTGATTTTGCGCGTCAAAAGTATATTTTTAAAACTATTTTGTTGGAAAAATAGATTTGATCGTCTAATGTTTTTTGTGTCTTATTGTTAGAAAATGGCCAGTTAGAAAATGCTCAAATCATATTTTTAATCATATCTCAATTTTTTCAAATGGAACGAGGGTATAATTTGATACTACACACTTGGTATTTTCAGTCAAATTTTCGTTACGAACCGCAAGTTATCATTTCAAATAAACCATATGCGAAAATGCCAAAAGATGACATATGATATATCATTCTATTCAGAGCGTTATTTTCTATCGAATAAAGTAAAAAATATCGAGGGTACCATTGAAAAATCAAAACTTGTAGTCATTTCCGGTGAAACAGGAAGTGAGCGAAAACAATTGAATACGTCAATCAACCCTAATTTATATCATACACTAACATACCAAATCTCGATATTTTATCTGAAAAAATAATAAAGTTATAGGGGTAAGCCACTTTTGAGACGCACCCGGTATACTACCCCTACAAATATTTGCACTTATTTAAGAGTCACCCTGTATAGTTACTTTATATAATTTAGCTTGAAGCTAATTACTTATTAATAGCATTTTAAAATAATAATTGAAATTATTATTATTATGTAAATTTATTAAAAAAAAGGAAATTAAGCCACAATAACCTACTTATGTTAAAAAATAACAGAAACATATTTCTATTCATTAGTTAAAACGATTATTAATTAATTGTTACAAGTACAGACAAAGTTTAAACATTGTAATTATAATAATTATCAGTAATTTTGTATTAAAGTAGACTTTAGTTGTTAGAAATTTATAATTACCACAAAAACATTTATTATTATTATTTATAATATTTTTTACCTGATACTTTTATCTTTTTTCTGATTATTATTACAGAATTTATAATAATAACCACGGGGGGCTTCGGCGCTCAAGCCTACCTTTAGGTTCAGCCAGGTAATACAATCATATTAATTTATTTTGTTTCAAACGACTCTGGAGTATGTACCAGTGGCGGTTTAACCATGAGGTTTATAATTAACAGGAGGTTCTATTTAAAAAAACATAAGTATATAGTGTGACCAACGGATCTGTAGCTACGGGGTATCGACAGGGGAACACAGTTGTAAACAAAACACGCCCAATTTCATTCATAAAATAGGCATGGGCGTACGGTGTTATATGAAAATAATGTGTATCATAAATATAATACTCTACTTTATGCTGTTTGAATCGTTACTGTTGAGTTAGCAGATAAACACTAAAAGCTTTTATTAAAGCTCCCTTAAATATTTTGAATCATTTTATTATTGTGTTGTTAATATAATAGAAGAAATAATTACAGCTGGGGATTGGAACCTTTGGTGTTACACAGCAAAATAAAACACTAAATCAGTACAATACACCAAAACACTTTTAATTTTACACTGGACGCACGTTTCGCTAACCATGTCTGCCATCACCAGATGATCAAGACTGAGTCTTGAGGTATATTTATTTATATCGGTACTAACTATATTTTTTTCTATAATACATAATTTTAGATATAACTATTTCCAGCAAAAAAAAAATCTTGAAAATAGTTAACTTTGGAAGCGCAAACAAAACATAATTTTACTCACCAGTAGATCCAATATTGCCTATTACACCAGATATGGTATCGCTCCGCCAGCAGTTTTTAAAGGTTAGGTCATTGTCTACCCATATGTTACATCCAAATAGATAATACTTGGCTATATTTTCGAATTTCGCGTATATATATTTATATCTCTCTCTGCAATATAATGGGCCGCTCCATTAATATTTATCTGTTATTTTAACATTTACGCCAAAAAAATTCATTTGATTTTAATAACCCCCTAAGCGTTTCCCTGCAAAAGGAAAATTCGATTCTTCCTGCAATTTTTGCAAAAGCTTTCTAATTGTGGGGACGAGTTTGAATTCGAGATAAAATCTATTTATCAAATTCCTGACCACTTCGAAAAAGTCGTTGAGCTTTTCGACAGCAGTCTCACGTGGTCGTTTCTTTCCAGAGAGGATATCATTTTATCGGGGTTAGTTTTCAGCCTTTTTTTTATCTTCTGTGTGAATTTTTTTATAGCCGATACGCTAACTCCGGTATAAAGAAATATCCGCTCAAGTTTACGTTTAAGCGGCAACTCAAGCGAACTCTCTGTAGCTTCTTCATCGCAAACCCTATTATGAACACAAGGAAATACACCAAATGAGATTTCATCCACGTTATTATTAACTTACCTATATAAATTAGCTATTATTTCTCTTGTCTGACTATGTAGCGTCTTACCCTTAACAAATTTATTCGTTTTAAAACACAAATATACGATCAAACTTGATATTAATAATTAAAAACTACGAACGAAAAACATTATAACAAGATAACAAAACAATAAAACACAACTTAACTATCAAATATACTAAAAATATAGGAATAAAGTTTAGGATAACCGGTATAAAATAATGAAATAAAGTAATAATGATCAAAAAAATGACGCCGCCACTGGATATTTCAATAGTATTCAATATTCCTACTCTTTTCAGAAGAGACCGTGAAGTTGGGGATAAAGCAAGCGAATAGGAAAGGCGTAAAAGCCATGGCAACCGCGTGGTAACAAAAAGGTAACAAATCCTGTGACGTACTCGCCAATCATGTTCGATGAATAGGCGGCCATGCGCGGCGATGCCGGTTTGCCAATGATATCGTTGAAAATCTTCAACTTTCATAATAGGCAGATTATACAGAATGAAAGAAATAAGTTATTAAATAAAACATATCGAACAATATGAACTACGTTAAAATTCCTTAGTAATATACGTCAGAATATATGCTAAACACATTATATATAATAAAAATATATTAAATTTATAGTTCATGTCTGGCAATTTTGCAATTTTATAGATAAACGTGGCAATATCGATTTTTTTTTCTCGCATTCCTTCCGTAGCTACAGATCCGCTGGTCAAACAGTAGTTAATATCTCAAAAAATATTATTTTCGAAAAAAGTCTGACTACGCCACTGCATTCTACACAGAAAAGTGCCTTTAGAATGTATAATTCATTTTTCCGTGGTTGCTGAAATAAACAAACTATCGAACATCTTCAAAAAGTACAAAATTTGAGAATCCCCTGTAGCTTCGAAACCGATCAAGATAGCCACGATCCGTTTGCGCCATTGTAATTTTTAAAAAAGAACCCGAAACTGCAGTATCAAAATTTGAATATTTCTCACGGTTTTCCTAGATACCCTATAGAAACAACCAAAATGGTCCAATCCTGTCCAATATAACAGTCGGAAGTTTTGTGTAATCTATCAAAGATACTTGCATGCTTATGCGAAAACCCTTTTATAGAAACTCTGACAAACATGATACTCTGTCTGCATTGAAGTAACCTCTTGAGTTTACATTAAAATATGTTCTTTTGTTTCTGTCACACTTATTTTTTATTTGCTTCGTATTGTTCGATTTTATTTAATTGCTAATTCATGTATTCGGCTCCGAGGACATTAACATATTGATTTTCTTCATCTTCTTTCTGATAATTTTTCGGACGCGGTTTTTAAAAAGATCCAAAATTGATTAAATTATCTTCTAACCTTTTAAAAATGGCTGGGTTTGGTTGCTCGCGCTCTGGATACCGCTCAAAATATAAATCAGCTGCCATTTGCTTATGTTTGTTAGACTCAATATAACATTCTAACATATATTTCTCAAAATTTTCAAATTTACTCATTTTTTTATTATTTAAAATACACAAATTTCAATCTGTTGAAATGAAATGTCACGTATCCATCAAAGGTATGTCCCGATCACCATGACCACCGTTTACTTTGTTACTCGGCGCGGCCCACTATCTACTAAGTGGATATTTTAAGAAAAAATTGAAATGTTGAGGTTAATAGTGAAAATAAAAATAGAGTGTTATATATTTTCGAGAAGCCCCATGCCAAGCCGAATTAGAAAATTTAAAAATATACAGGGGGTTCTATTTAAAAAAAAACATAAGTATAATTAACATCTCAAAGAATATTTTTTTCGAAAAAAATCTGACTACGCCACTGCATTCTACACAGAAAAGTGCCTTTAGAATGTATAATTTATTTTTCCGTGGTTGCTGATATAAACAAACTATCGAACATCTTCAAAAAGTACAAAATTTGAGAATCCCCCTGTAGCTTCGAAACCGATCAAGATAGCCACGATCCGTTTGCGCCATTGTAATTTTTTCAAAAAAAGAACCCGAAACTGCAGTATCAAAATTTGAATATTTCTCACGGTTTCCTAGATACCCTATAGAAACAACCAAAATGGTCCACCCTGTCCAATATAACAGTCGGAAGTTTTTGTGTAATCTATCAAAGATACTTGCATGCTTATGCGAAAACCCTTTTTATAGAAACTCTGACAAACATGATACTCTGTCTGCAATGACAAATTTTGATGATACATAATAAATTTGAATAATTTCTTACACCTATCTCAAGTAAAGTAATGTCAAGGACATAGAATATACACCTGTATGTGTTCTGCAGGTTTAATTAAGCATTATTATATTCTTCAGTCAGTGTTATATTAGATTTCCGTTAATAAATATATTTATACATTTGTTCTCTGTCCAAAGAAGAAATACTAGTTTTTATTTGATACTTTTAATAGATGATTTTTTTAAACGAGTTCTACGTAATAAAATGTTCATTACCGACATAACTAACATAATTAATAAAAAAGAATAGCACAAATACGATTAATTGTGAATTGAAAAAAAAAGTTCCTATAGTGGAAACGCGTTTAAAATAGATATTTATGTTTGCTAATTTCTATGACGTGCTTAATATGGTTCTCCGCCACAAAAATTCTACAGGTAGCCACAAGCAGGTCAGTCGGTAAACCTGCAGGACAAACAGTTGTGTGCTTCGAAGAGCTTTAGTACTTGGAAACCTTTGGGTACGACCAGGGCAAGTTTTTTCGTTCTTTCGCGGTGATTTTAGGTACGACTCTTTGTTTATTTCAACCTGGTAAAGTATTGTTTAAAGATATATATTTATTAACCCTAATATAACATTTTAAGTTATATTATTTTTTATATCTGTACATAACAACAAGGAGGTCTTTGGTTACTAACCTTTTTTCAAATTTTTTTAAATACTTTTTTCAAGTCTCTACTAAGATAAGAGCAAAATAAAAACATAAATTCATTTTTTTATGAATTCATATTTTAAATAATATTATTTATTATTTTTAAGAATTATTGATGATTATTATTTTCAAAATATTGAGTTAAGGAAAAATATTATACAAAATTATCGCAGAATTTCTGTAAATAGTATTTAAACATAAGTAATTTATTTTTTAACTATCGGAGAGACAAAATTAAATTCTCGTATTTTTCATGGTATTTTTTTTTATTTAACATTTATTTATTTAAAAAATAATTTAGAAACACTTCAAAGCCTGGGGTTTCCCTAAACACATATTTTTATTTTAATATACAGGGTTGTTCACCACATACGACACGGAGTATTGTAGCTAGACGATTAGATTTTTACAAATTGTAAGTTTTGGGTTCGTCGAAGGACTATTAGAGCTACAATTTAAAAATATTTTTACAAGATACAGAGTGTCCCAAATAAATAAAAAATATCAAAGTTTTATTTTTTTAAATGGAACACCCTGTATATTATTACATTTTTAGTTTCAACGATTAAAATAAAGGTAAATTTGATTAAGGTTTATCACCCATAAACCTTACAATTTTTGAAATATTTTCAATTTTGTGAAATTGCAGTAACAATATTTTTAGGCTTCATTTCTCCAAGGGTATCAAAGTTTTTGATACTAAATATTTACTGAAGTTTAATTATTGATCAGTTATTAAGTTGCAATAATAAAAATAATACTACCTTATACAGGATGTCTAAAAATTTATTTTAAATAATTTCTAGCTTTAAACGGCAATAACTCGTTTAATTTAAATGGAACACCCGGTATATTTTGGGAGAATCAGATGTACAATTTAATTGTCCATCAAATTATATTAAACCATTTTTTACCTATCCCTTCAAGTTTTCGTAGAAAATGCATTTTCTTATAAATTACACCTCATTTATCAATATAGCCATGGAATATTGACATTTTAGATTGTTTTTAAAATAACAAATGTATAAAATGTACAGATGCTAAAAACGATAATATTACCAGCCTATTTGTATACAAAAATAAAACTATTTAAATCTTTATAAAAGAGTATACCATTAATTAAACATATACCACCATTATTTCCGCCCAAATATTAATTAATTACATATTTAATTGTGTTTGTTAATAAATTATTCTAAACAATTGTGGATTTGGAATCAGGAATCAATATAATAATAAGTTATGAATATATAAATAAGCATTCGTCAAAAAATGAAATAAAATTTTTAAGGTGTTACTTTTTACCACACTGTCTAATACACATACAAAATTGAATTTTTTAGTATTTGGAGCGATTATTAATCAACGCAAACAGTCAATTAATGTAGTTTGAATACTGGAATCATATTAATTGATCCTCTTTTACAAATATTTAAACATTTTTTTTTTATTTTTTAATGACATTAACGAACTATATTGACAATATTAGTATCTGTACACTTTAAAAATTTGTTACATCTTTAAAAATAATCTAAAACGTCAATATTCCATGGGTATATTGATAATTGAGGTCTAAATTATAAGAAAATGCATTTTCTACGAAAACCTGAAGACATAGGTAAAAAATGATATAATACAATTTGATAGACAATTAAATTATGGATCTGATTCTCATAAAATATACAGGGTGTTCCATTTAAATTAAAGAAGTTATTGCCGTTTAAAGCAAGTTATTAATTAAAATAAATTTTAGACACTCTGTATAAGGTAGTATAATTGTTATTATTGCAACACAAAATTTAGCAAATAGAAATACTTCAGTACAATATTTGTTTTTAAAAACTTAAATAAACCTACAGAAATAAAGCATTAAAATTATTACTGTATTTTGACAAAAACCTGTATTAAATTATTTACTGTATTTTGATTAAAATGCTGTAAACCTTAATCAAATTTACCTTTATTTTAATCGTAGAAACTAAAAATGTAATAATATACAGGGTGTTCTATTTAAAAAAATACAACTGTGATATTTTTTATTTATTTCGGCCAGTCTATGTCTTTTAAAAATATTTTTAAATTGTAGCTCTAATAGTCCTTCAACGAACACAAAACTTACAATTTGCAAAAATCTAAATGTTTAGCTACAATACTCCGCGTCGTATGTGGCGAACAACCCTGTATAAATGAGCAAGAACTAGTAATTATTTTAAATTATTGATGGCTGAGTTGATGCTAATTTTATGTTATGTAAAATATCATATTTTAGTTAATTGAAATTTTTGTAATTTTTAATTTTGTTGGTTAATTTTAAAGACGTACCTACTGTTTAGTCACATGTTTTAAATCGTGAAAAAATGTCTGAAATGAAATAAATCATCATATTCAGCTTATTCAACCATTTCATTCATTTCCAATTATGCTATAGCAAAACCTCACATATCTAGATAATATATTTTTGTAATTGAGCCCGATTGTTATCTATTTTTGACTATGTAGAATGTTTAGGAGGGGAGTTAATCACCGCGACCTTATATAGTCTGTCCAACGAGAAGATCCTTGACAGTGATAGATGTGTCTGTCATTTTAATTTCAAATTAGTTTATTTTATTTTACAAAGAAATAAGTTGGTACAACTGGAACGCATAGCAAGAAATATTTAAAATTTGATTGACAAGATGACAAGTGATTACTTCAAAATATTGTGAAAAAAACTGTATAAAACTGAAAAAATGTAATCGAGTTATTTTATTTAATAAAAACGGTATATGTTAATACAAAACAAACAAGAACAAGAGACTACATACCAAAAAAATATGAAAAAGAACTATTTTTTACTTTCAAGCTTTATGAAACTACCCGCATTTATGATTATATTTATCAATATAACTTATGTACAAATACAAATTTGTAATATTCCACAGGAATAAATAAAACAACATAGGTAAATAAAACAAACTATTTTATTAATAATAACACCTACCAAATTTTATACCTTAAAGGTTGATTAATTAACTTTAATCTTAATTTTTTTAAACCAGTACCTTTTGACATTCTTTTTCTGCAGAACTAAAATCAATTATTTACCTATCGTGTGATGTCGATATTTTACAGCTACTCCAGTTTTTAGTATGTGTTTAGTTTGATCCTTCTACCATATACGAGTTTATTTATTACGAGATTGCACTTATCTACGACGAAATGGTATACAAACTTTAACGATGGCAACTTCATTGGTGTATAAGACTTTCTGCCTGGACAGCGAGTATTAACCATAAACTGTGCTCTGGGTCTACAGTTAATTTTCACTCGATTTTTCCTCCACTTGACTTCAAAAGACACAAAACACACCTAATAATACGAATCAAAATGCATCATCTTCCAAACCGCAGGGTATTTAACAAAAGTTGACACAAAATTATAACCTATAATTTGGCAAGACTTTGACAAGCGTCAAAATGACAAAATCTAAAGGCGAGTTCATACGCATCGGCGTCCGTTTATCGTTCATCGTTCCGTCAAACCAATAAAATTGAAATACGATCTGTCATTTTTTAAATAAACCAATAAAACTGGTTAAAAACAACAAGACACGACGCATGACGGATTTATATTTAAACCCATCCATAGATAACTTAAAAATTATTAGAAACTTTTTTTAGTAAAATAAATAGATTGGTATGGGACGTCATCTGCTTTTCCTCTGTCATCGTCTGTCGAAATCTTACCTGAGAAAAAAAACAGAGTATAGATCTATTGTGTGTTCACCTTTCTTGAGTTATAACGAGTTATAACTCATCATACAGTCTCAGGGCTTTAACAAAAGCCAGTATCTGAGACGGCTCCACAGAGGCCAGCTCTCCATCCTCGACATCAGACGTACCAAGGTTCATGGCATGAATGGTCGTCGTCTCGGCGCACTCAGTATTAAGGTGTTCTGGTGTTTCCCCATTTTCCCCACAAAATCTGCATTCGCCGTTGTTTCTCAGTTTCAGCCTAATGAGGTGTTCGTGGTGGAGACAGTGTCCTGTTAGAAACCCCATAACAATCCCAAGATTGTTTTTACTTAAATCAAGGAAAACCTTTGATTTTTCTCGGTTGTAAGTTCTGAGGAACTTTTTCGAGTGTCTTAGACCGTTGGAGGACACCCATTCCAAGTTACGGATGGAGTCTTCCAGATTCTTCAGTTCCGCTTTCAGTTGGTTCCCGTTTGGAAAACAGAACGGTTCTGGTCCAGTTTTTTAGAATTAGAATTTAGAATGAGTGGGAGGGGGGTTAATCACTTCGACCTTACAGATCCATTGTGTCCCCCTTTCTTGAATCATAACTCATCATACAGTCCCAGGGCTTTGACAAAAGCCAGTATCTAGGACGGTTTTATAGAGGGTAGTTCTCCATCTCCAATATCAGTCGTACCAAAATTCATGGCACGAATGGTTTGTCGTCTCGGCGCACTCAGTGATGAGGTGTACTGGTGTTTCACCATCTTCCCACAGAATCTGCATTCGCCGTTTCTTCTTAGTTTCGATCTACTGAGGTGTTCATTGAGGAGACAGTGTCCTGTTAAAAACCCCGTGACAATCCGAAGATTGTTCTTACTCAGACCCAGGAAGATCTGTGATTTTTTCTTGATCATAAGCCTTGAGTTGGTTACCACTTGGAAAGCAGAACGGTTCTAGTCCAGTTAGTGGAGTGTTCGCTCCTTTTCTAGCTAGATCATTTGCTTTTTCATTGCCTTCTATCCCTTGGTGAGCAGGCATCCAGAGTAGGAGGACTTTATTTTCTTTGCCTAATTTGTTGAGCAAAGTCCTCCTTTTTTGACTATGCGGGTCCAAGTTATCCCTCCTAATATCATGGTCCCATCTCAGGTTTGGTCTCC